AGATTGGGGCTTAGCTGCCTGGTTGGACTGGGAGCTCAATGTCCATGCCCATGCTTGCGGTTTAGGGTTTGGGGTTTAGGGTTTAGGGTTTAGGGTTTAGGGTTTAGGGTTTAGGGTTTAGGGTTGGGGATTCTAAGGCATGCACAAAAGAACACCCAACCTGTTTAGGGCGCAGGGGTTCAGGGCTTCTCGTTTAGGACTCTGCTGCTTTACAAGGAAGCCCGGGAGGCAGTCACCACGGTTTAGGGTTTAGGGTTTAGGGTTTAGGGTTTAGGGTTTAGGGCGTTCCGGAGCCCCACATGACATAGTTCGTCGGGTCCGAAGTATTTTAAGGTAGATCCCTGGTAACCGGAGCACATGACAAGAACCGAAACCCTGAACCATAATCCCCAAGCCCTAAGCTTAAGCCGTGATCTGATCTCGAATCTTGACCCCTCACCTTGCTGCAATGCCCAGAACGTGAGTGTACTTTCATGCTCGCCCTGAACCCCTGAACCCTAAACCCAAGACCCTAAAACCCTCAACCCTGATAATTGGCCCTGCAACCCTAAGGACTTTAAACTTTATCTCTTAATATAGGGGCCTTAATAATTAGAGTAGGGTTTCGGGGCCCATTATACTATGACTACAACAAGGAACCCCGAAACTAGTATAGGTAATTCTTTGGGCCCCTACATTCGTCAAGTCGCATCCAAGCGAACTCCTCAATGCCGGTGCCGCTGGCGTCGTCCAGGCCAAGACCTTGTTAAATCAAGAGCCGGCTCTTCAGCAATAGCATACTTGGAGGTTCATGGGTGGTTGTAAGTGGGGTTATAAGTAGGGTAACTATACTTATAACCCATACTAGGGAACTTATAACCCTACTTATACCTACCCATGAACCTCCAAGTAAGGCAGTACCGAGGATTCCCGTAGGCTTACATATGCAGTCGTATCCAATCTGGGCTCCAGCGCATCTTGCCGGCCTCCCTGGAACCCGAAACCATCACCTCCAGGACTGCAACTAGAGACCTGAAACCTAAACTCCCAAAGCCCCTAATCCCTCTAACTCTAAACTCTAAGCCTTCGAAACCGTAGGCGCCCAAACCCCTAAGTCCTAATCCCTAAACCCCAACAAGAGAGCCCCAAACTCCTCCCTAGGTAACAGCTTACCTGAAAAGGTAGATCCGACACTCAACCCTGGTCCCTACAGCTTACAGCAACCCTAAGCACCCAAAAACTTCAGCACTTCATCCTATCCAGACTCCAGTCAAAGCAGAAAGCCTAAACCCTAAACCCTAAACCCTAAACACTAAACCCTAAACCCTAAACCCTAAACCCCAAACCCTAAACCCACAACTACCCAGCCTCCACGTAGCGGGGGAAGACGAAGCCCCGGTTCGACCATGAAGGCGAGCGTCCGCTGTTTTGGGATGCCTTTGAGGGCAAGGGTGGGTTTCGGGTTTCGGGCTTTAGGGTTTAGG